TGGTGAAAATGTTGGACAAAAAAGTTTCAATTAAAAATTTAAAAATTTTGGGCGGGACGAAGTTAGCCGGGTCTGCTAGTTTATTAATAAAAACGTGAGGAAATGGATATGTATATACCCTTTTTACTGAATAAAAAGAAATTATTAAACATGATAATAAAAACTTGGCGCTTTTGTTTTAGAAAAATTGGCTTTTTCTGGTGGCCTGATGCCACACTGGCTCAGTTGTTGCAAAATTACACATCCATACACGCATTTTCACTTGAAAACAAGTGTGTAGTGGTTAATATGTATACGTTGCCATTTCGGTACAGCTCACTTCACCTCGCCTAGCACGCTCGCGTGCTCGCAGTTTGCCCGCGACGTCGACTGCGTGCACCTCTGCTGTGCATCCCTAATCTATCTTATATTATATTAATTTTATTGTTTAACGATGAGGAACACGTTTATAAGTTTGTTTATTTTCCATTAGAGAACCGGAATAGTATGTATGTACGTATAGTATGGCCGCACGTGTGAGTAACGTGTTGCCAGAACACGTTTCAAAATATGTTTCCAGATGTTCAATGTGTAAGAATATTATAAAGGCGAATATGAAAAGTTCTATTTTATTATGTATTTAATAGCAATTATGAGTATTATGTGCGCAGAATTCTCCTTTTTGTGTTGCCTTGTCAAGTGTATGAAACACCTTCTGACAAAGTAGTAAGGGTATTCATCAAACCTTATAAGCGTATAAAATTATAATTGTGTAAACCTTATAAATGAACTGTCAAAATTGGTATGGAAACTAGTTTACACATTTGTGATAAATTTATCCAGCGATTTCACTGAATAAACTTGATAAACTGAAGCCAATGCAACTCTGTCGCAACTCTGGCTATGTTTTCTTGGGCAATAATCGGGATCCGCACGCAAATTTTGCACGCAATTCAACAACAACGATATGATCCTGATAGAGATCTGGTTCAATTATTATCCCGTCTGTTTGTTTTGTTTCACTGATAATATGCCCGCAAAGTTTGGTTCGTACACAAACAGTCATTCTGCCATTGTTTCTTTTAACTTGCTTCATATAAATAGCCTTTATGTTATATGTATATTTATTTAAATAGATATTATCTCGTTAATATAATTTTTTCCAATTTAGTGAGGTAGTTTCTATAATTTATTTATCCCCGTGCTAGTAATATAAAGTTAGTGATACTGAGCTCTATAACCAAAGAAAAATAAAATATTTAAAAAAGATTTTCCCTACGTTTCAAAGGCAGTTAAAAAATGCGTATAATTTTCCTCACGAAATTGATATCATAAATTTTGTTTCTAGTTCAGCTTTCGTCACTCGAAAATTTTACTTCAAAGAGGTGTTTTATTTGATATCAATTATTTTGGGGTAGCAACTTTAAAATCGACGAAACTACAAACAATAATCTAAATGTTTTATTTTTCTCAAATAAATTGTTAAAAATATTATCTAATTCTAAATTATGTATTCAAATCGATGTGTCCATTGAAACATATAATTTTTAAAATACGGAATAAAGCGAAAAAGAATAATCATATCCTTTGTTTTCAAAAAAATAAAAAATAAAAAAAAGATTATGAGAAATGATAAAAACTTATCAACTTGGTACCAACTTTGGATACAATTAGCAACTGTATTCGGCTAATTGCCAAGTAGTTTAATTGTTGTTAAGATTTCTACCGGGTGTGGGGCGCACACCTGTGCGTTTTTAAGAAGTTTTACTTCTATCACGTGTACGATGTTGCACTCGTGCTATTAAACTAATACTTTTTTCTCAAGTAGTTTTGCTCAGTGGCAATTTATACGTATGTATGGAAGTAGTAGCGGCACATTGCACGATCCAGAAAATAAAGGTCGCGCCATTCGCGGACCGCTAACCCTCTCTTCGTCGAACAGCATCCACCCATTCGCTGACGTCACACAATACTTTTGTTTACATTTTCTGGTTCGTGACATTTTAGGTTATTTCAACATTACAAATTTACAAATTCGAAAGTTTTTGAGCGTTGTTTTGTTTTTTTGTGAAAACTTATAAAAAAGTTATAAATTAAAGAAAAAAAATTAGGTGTGCAGTTAATTGTGCTAGTGTTAGTGCCAAAGGATCTGGGTGCAGTTCTTTTACTTTTCCGGCCGACATAGAGTTGGTGGAAAAGTGGATCCACTTCTACCGGATACCAACGTATTTCAACGCCCGAACCCGCGTCATCTGTGTAAAACACTGCACCACTGATGACTTCGAAAACGAGCTTCAATATAAAATGGGTAAGTTATACTATTTAATTCGCCAATAAACGCTTATTGGATTTCGTGAGCATGGTGTAACTCGGGAGTAAATTTCACGAAAGGTAGCCGCGGAAGCTTATATTTTTCACTTTTCATTAATACTACATTTTATTAAAAGAAATGTTTTAAATTGTGTTAGGCTACGCTACAAAGCGTAAACTAAAGCGGGGCGTTGTGCCGAAAATTTTCAAGCCTGCTGCGGAAATACCAGATCCTGACAAGTAAGCCCAGCAGCAAGTGTACAAAACCATTGTGAGCGAACTACTGGAGCAGACATTAGCTTCTCTGTGTTTGTATACATAAAGGGCCCCTTTCAGGGCCACAAAGAATTTACAAAGGGATCAAATGCTTTATATAAGCTTATCTGGGTCAACATACACAATACCATATATACACAAAAGGCCCTTTTCAGGGCCGCAAAAAATTAACAAAGATATCAATTTTTGACTGTCGTGATAACGAATAAGAAATGTACATATCGTCGTCTAAAGTACAAAACCGCGAATCAACAAAATGCAAAACCGCGTATCATGATAATGCAAAACCGCGTATGTGAGGTTGCATAAATCACCACCAAATATTTTTTAATTGTGTGAAATTTCATAATAAAACTTTTATGTTAGCTTGCGAATTCCTTAAATACAGTTTTAGCCGTTTAAAGTTTATGACATTCAACAGTACGATAGTATACAACACCTTGCTTATATAAAACATCTCCCTAGTTCTTACATGTTAAAATGTTAACAAACATAACTGTAATGGATTTACTAAATTTGACGCAATTTGTATTCTTTGTTTGCAAAGTGCTATAAATTGAATCCGGCATCAGATCACATGCAATAAGCGACAACATTTCATTACGATCTATTTTTTATTTATTTGCTATTTGAAAATATAACACGTTCCCCTGATAAAGCTTTTTATTTATACATACTGACCTTTTGCTTCCTACCGGAAATGTTAAGCCGTATGCATAAAAACTAAGCAATTGCTTTTTTCTTGAAATTGCATACCTTTCACTTATATTTGTTTGAACATAATACTTGAATTATTAATAAACAAGCACATGTACTTATTGCCAATAACAATTTCTATTTTATTTAGTTTTAAACTTTTCTTTATATATTTGTGATTACATAAATCGGTTCTAGTTGTATTACTCAGGATCATCTCTACTTTTTATAGAAAATTTTGAAAAAAAGGGAAACTAAGTGAAGTAATTTTATTATTTGCAGAATTAGTGTCTAACCCTACGTGACTGCTTCTAAAAGCTATCGCGTTTCACGTGGCATATAAGACCTAATTTCATTATTACATTAGTGTGATTTATATGTATGTATATGAATAGGATATTATATATTTATGTATTTAAAAACCCACAACTTTAAGACTCTGAACTTGTTAAAATCTTGCCGTGTCACAAACATATTCGTTATTAGCAAGGAGCACTGTTTCGCTGTACTCGAGCGAACAGTGCTAGCAGCAACTGGTGACTGCCCGAATTGATCCCGACGCGCTTTTTGTTGTTTGAGATTTTCTATACGCACTTCTAGTATCTGTTTGAAGTCGGTGTCCATGCTGGCTAATTTAGATTGTAACGCATACACCATGATGTAAGTCAATTCTTGAATCTCTTGCGGTCGATCATCAAAAAGACTCTTCTTTTTGGCCACTGCAAAAGAAAAGGTAAAGTAATATTTATAATTAAGAACACCTATTCATTTTATACGCACGCATTGTTAATTTTTCCAACTTGGCATATGCACTTGCTATGTTTTTGCCAATATATTTGTGACCATCATAAATTCCTTTCTTTGGCATACGTCAATTGTTGCACCATAGCCTGTAAGAAATGCGTAAACATAATAATGTAAACATCTTCAAATGCACTTCTGCTTCTAACTTACTTGTAAGTCTCTAATCTGTTGCTCGTACATAAATTGCGTCTGCGTTAAGGTCTCTATACGATTGCCGCCTTGGTTTACATTGGCCTTACCCGACAACTGGCGTATAATAAGCTGCGCCATTCCAACTCATTTGACTTTTCTTTGAACTGATGTTCAACATCGGGAGCACGTTGCTGCATTACATCTAACAGCCTTTTCATTTCATCCAGATGAGCCGCTTGATGTGGCCAACACCAAAAAGGTTTGTTTACAAAGTGAATTTTTGAGTAGTTGAACAAATGTCAGTGGGCAGCCAGCGGGTCAGTTGCTGGCAAGAATTTGCCGGAAAAGTAGCTAAATAATTAAAGTAATTATATGTATAACGGAGTAGGAGGTTTTCCTCTATTTTAAAAGCTTGGTTACTGATTTCACTAATTGACGACGATGCAACGATCACAGTGGAATCGTTCTGCAAATTGTTACCAGCAACTGACCCGCTGGCTGCCCGCTGGTATTTGTTCAATTACTGAAAAAATGCAAATCATTATAATGATTGCAGTGTTTTAACACTTTCAGCGATTTGCATTGCATTTAATAAGTACACATTCTTTACTTTTAAACAACCAATTTACCATTTAAAATTAAATAATTCTGTAAATCCGCGATTTATTATGCACTTTGTAAACAAACCTTTCAATTTCGCCCCAGCTGTTCGATTCTTCTTCTTTTTCTTATTGAATTCGTCTTTGCTCTCTCATTCTGGTATTTTTTGACGTCATGGCCAGTTGCTCTCAGCTCGATTGGCGCAATCTTGTATTCTATCATTCTTGGGCACATTGGGTGAACTAAATGCATTCATACATACATATTTATGTACAACTATAGGTAATATTGTACGCGTCTTCCCAGGTAGGTTAAGTGCGGGTGTAGCATAATTAAATACTGTGTACATACCTACAATTAAAATGGGGAAAAATGTTAAAATTTCGGCTGAAAAAACTCTAAATAAATACACACAAATAGTGCTTTCCATGACATGTACGAAGTGATTAGCACAGCTACATCCTTCAACTTGTCAAGTCGCGGGAAATTCCCCGATTTGCAGGGAATTTTGGTTTAAGTAGCAATCGAGGAATGGGCAATTTTTTTCGGGGAACTGGGTGTGTTATTTTTATATCGTAAAGTAACCAAATTAGACGGATATGTTAATTTTTAACCATTTGACCCTTTTCAGAGCGAAATTTTTTCAATTTGAATCGCAATATCTCCACAACAAGAGTTTTCCCAGACATAAGCTATATACCGGATGAAAGGTAAGGTTTTGGGCTAGACTTGTGGAAACTCAGAATAAAATCGACTGACCAGTTTTTGAGAAAATGCCCGAAATCTCTATTTTCAGCAGCCCGATTTATATTTTTCAGACGATAACGTTATGACATATTTCAATTTTATAAACAAAAAAGACAGTGTTAGATAGCTTGTTTGAAGACCCTTCTACTGATATCCAAACCAATGATATGGACTGAGTAGTGCGGCCTCAGTGGTAGTTTAAGAAACTGCCTTTTTTCGAATTTCAGGCCGCAGCCACGCCCACAAAGGCATACGAATCAAAACATCCTGGAACAAAACCTTCCTATTTTTTTTGTACTTTTATTCCTGAAGTTTTCATACCAAAGCATCTCGTAGAGGAGACACGAACCAAAATACATTTACCTCTATATCTTTCCAACTAGTAGCCAGAACTTAATATATAAGGTATCGTTTGAAAGGTATTGGCCTACAGAATAACACTAAATATATTAAACGTTTTTTGTTTCGCAACACTTTAGCCTAATTTTTAAGAATCTGGTTAATCGTTCATGAAGCTTGAATACATTTTCTGGACACATTCTGCAAGACCTTTCCAACGATATCTCAAACATGTCGATTGGACTTCTGGATAAAAACTTCCAAATCTCGTGTATATATGAGCGAGTAATTTCAGCATACTACTGTGCTGCTTTCGTCACTCGCGCGCTCTGCCGTGCGCTGTGATAAAACAGCCTCTGACATTGTAGTGTTTTTGTCGAAACACTCTTTCTGCGTAGGCGGCCTTCGCCAGCGCTTAGAGATAATAGCCTTCACATTGTAGAAGTCTCTTTCTGTATTGCGACGAAAAGGAGCAGAAGTATTTTTGAGCAGAATTTCTTTCTGCGTAGGCAGTAGAATTCATTTCTGTCTTGCGAAGAAAAGGAGCAGAACTTCTTTCTGCGTAGGAGGCCTGCGACCGCGCTTTTGGATTATAACCCTCACAAAGTAGAATTCTCTTTCTGTGTCGCGACGAAAATAAGCAGAAGTATTTTTGAGTAGAACTTCTTTCTGTTTAGGAGGCCTGCGGCCCGCACAAAGTAGAATTCTCTTTCTGTGTTGCGAAGAAAAGGAGCAGAAGTATTTTGAGCAGAACTTCTTTCTGCGTAGGCAGTAGAATTCATTTCTGTCTTGCGAAAACAAGGAGAAGAAATATTTTTGAGCAGATCTTCTTTCTTCATACGCGGCCCATGACCGCGCTAAGGGATTAAAACCCTCACAGAGTAGAATTTTCTTTCTATGTCGCGAAGAAAATAAGCAGAAATAATTTGAGCAGAACTTTTTTCTGCGTAGGCGGTAGAATTCATTTTCCGTCTTGCGAAGACAAGGAGAGGGATTATAACCCTCACAAAGTAAAAAAAAGAAAAGGTGCAGAGGTATTTTTGAGCAAAACTTCTCAACAATAAAAGTGACTACAAAATATTTATGATGTATATTTAAATCATACAATCAATAATTATTATAATTTTACTGAAAATTTATATTATCTGCACAAATAATACTCATAATTGCTATTAAACTCATAATAAAATAGCACTTATCATATTCGCCTTTATAATATTTTTACGATTAGAACATCTGGCAGCATATTTTGAAACGTATTGTGGCAACACGTTACTCACACGTGCGGCCATCTTAATTTCATTGTCCATACATACTCATATATACACACATACCTATTTCGGTTCTCTAATGACAAATAAACAAATTTATAAACGTGGTCCTCATCGTTGAACAATAAAATTAATAATTATAAAATAGATACAATTTAGTTAAAATGTGTGTGTGCGCAAGAAATAATGGAACGGGCATATATTTCTGTTGCAAGCATGGGTTGCTTTCAGCTCTTTTTTCACGAAAAACTTTAGAAAACTGTAGTAAAAGCGTAGCAAATCTCTTAAGAACTGCGTACTGCCTCAAGAAAATTTCATAGGCATTTCTTGTACGTCATTTTATAAGGAGTTTTTGCTTTTCTTGAGAGCTGCATACAGGCCTTTAACAACAAATGACTCGTAAACTATGAGTTTCCCGGCCGTCCGGTTTTCAGTTTTGTGATGTGTACGACCGCCTCTACACCCCCCATAAAGTCATTTTGTTCTAAGCGTGGTGCACTCTCGCAAATTCAACCTTCCACCAAATCTACCACACAAGGTCTACGACATATTGGCATTTTTCAGTAGTTATAATTTAGAGCCACATGATTTTCTTTACTTTTTCTATTAATTTTAGGAGCAAAAATTGTCCAACACTGAACACTATGTGATAACAGGTAGTGACACGGTATCGAACCGAAAGTATCGATATAGTGCTAATTTCAAGTATCGCTGGAAAAAGATCGGGTCCCCATTTATATCGTAATAAGAGCGTGGGTGAATCGGTAACAAAGTTCGCGGAGAGTAAAATTTTTGACCACTATGAGGTAGGAATGTTCGATATCGTATCGATTTTTCTGAATATCGATATTTCATCGCACGATAATCGATTTTTTGAATCGATATTCCAAGGTCGATATATCGAAGACATCGATACTTTACCCGCAATATCGATATTTAAGTTGAAATTTATTTTTCATCTACAAAGAAGTGTATGGAAATATACTAAAGTAGGTTAAATCAACAGCTTGTGTGATTTATTTAGCTCTTAAGTTTTACAAACTGCTTGAGTCGACCGGCATACCGTTTTAATCCTCAGTAAATATACAAGATGGAAATAACACAATTAGTTGAGTTGATAAGCAGGGGTTCTATTCTGTAACTGTGAGAAAATGTAGTGTACCCCGAGTGCAAAACTCACAACCAAAAACTCACCGACTAAAATTCTGTGAGTTTTTCGGAAGGGAAGTGTATACAATTCTGACAGTTAAAACTCATTCTCACACATGCTGAATCGCAAAATGAGGAAGTGTACACAGTTTTGACAGCTAAAACACATTCTCACTCTTCCTGAATCGCAAAATGAAGAGTGCACACAATTTTCAGTGTACACTTGAAAACTCATATTTACAGAATAGAGCCCCAGGTCTAATATTCTATTCAATTGGAAGTAGGATTTTCAACATCGATTTTTCCGATATCGATATTGTTCAGCCCGATATATCGCCGTATCGATTTTACATGCAATAAATTAAATCGATGATACTTGCTTAAATATCGAACATTCCTACTATGAGGTGAATAAAATTTCAGTAGTTCATGAGGTTAGTGAAATTTTTGACAAATGCTTGGAAAATATTTACAATCGCAAAGATTCTTGATGTGTGTAATTTTTGGTTGAATAAAAGCTGAAATTGATGAATTGTAATCAACGATGGTAGAGGTTTTCTTAAAATAATAATTTCCCTTCAATTTGTAATATTTTATTCCTCATAAATCTGCGGTAATCAAAAATTTACTGCTGTCAAAAAATATTTCATTTCACACAGCAGATTGGCAAAACTGTCTCACCAAGGTAAAAACATTATTCAATTTCCCCAAAGAACTTTGTTACCGATTAACACACCCTAAAAAGACTCGATGTTCCAAAATATCGATACAAAATTCAAAAAATTAAATCTGAATATTGGTATTATTTTCTATTAAAGAATTAACACTTTGAAATTTAATAAGTGCATCACTGAAGGCGCGCCATATTCCAAGCTAAGATTGCACCAATTTCTGCGCTTTAAAGTGCAAAATATATCTATATTGCTTTACATATAAATTCCAAAGTAAGTAAGGTTATAGTACGACATAGATTTGCAAGAAATGGAACCCTAGCTAAGGCTAAAATTCATGTTTTATTTGCGTTAAAAATTTGCTAAAGGACAATATTAACAACAAAACTTTCAATAGAAATTTCAGTAAGGTAACGTCACGTCAGGAGGAAGCCTTGCGACGTCTACTACAGTTGCCTCGTAAAGGAGCGCAAATTCGGTGTTGGATTCGTGGTAGGAGAGAGACTACGTCGCCGAGTACTGGCGTTCACCCCGGTGGACGAACGCCTAGCCACAATCCGCATCAAAGCTAGATTCTTCAACATCTCGCTCATCTGCGCCTATGCCCCGACGGAAGAGAAGGATGAGGCGTCCAAGGATCTCTTCTATGAGCGCTTGGAACGTACATATGAGCGCTGTTCCCGACACGATGTCAAAACGTTCCCACGATAGTCTGGTCTACGTAAGCGGAACGACCCAGATTTATATCTGGCCAAGGACTGTCACTCCAGCAACACTCCCCAAAAGATCTTTGGGGAATTTGTATGCTGCTACAACAACAACAACAACACGATGTCAAAATCGTGCTTGGCGACTTTAATGCCAAGGTGGGCAAGGAAGGGATCTTTGGCGCCACTGTCGAAAATTCCGCGTCCACGACGAAGCGTCCGATAACGGACTGAGGCTGATCGACTTCGCTGGGGCCCGAAACATGGTAATATGTAGTACTAGGTTCCAGC